CGCCTCTTATAGACACTGCCTGTCGTAAACAGTATCGTGTGCGCTAGATCACATCTTCATACGTGGAAAGAAAAGGAAAACTAAACATTTCCCCCAGCTTTAGCATTTTGCCCAACTAAAGCTAAATATCATGTAAAACCAGCTGCTCCCCAAGGGCTTTTCTTAAATAGCACACTATCTGTGTTTTGTGTTTACTAATGCGGCTACTATCTTATGTTTTATGTCTATGCACACAGTGGACCCACTACTTAGCAGTCCTCTTGGGAAAGGACACCTCCTTCTTTGACGTACACTCTCATGAGAGCCACCCATATGTGAGGTCTGAGCTTGTTGTTTATTTGTTCTTCACTCTGGAAGGAAAAGAGTGGCATGAGAAAAAGAAAAGCGTATGGCATATTCCCTTGTAAATAACAGGGGAAGTTAAACACACACACACACACACACACACACACACACCTTATACAGAACACCAAGAGATAAAGAGTGGAAGCTAAAAAGGACTTACTACCTCTTGTTGGTTTAATTCACTTCAAAGAGCCTAAAGCTATGAAGTATCTCCAGGCAGGTAGATTTTTTTTTTTTCTATCAAGATAACCATTGCCTTGTTATGAAGTCCAAACAAACCTCTAGAAACAGCCTTCTAGCAGTCTGCTCACTGCCATCTACCTCCGAGTTAGTAGGGACTTCACCCTAAATTCACCCCAAGTGAAACAAGAATTTGTGCTATGTGCCATAGCCAGAGACCAGGAAGTCCTTAAGTCTGCTGGGAGTGAGAGTCTAACCAGCACTCTATTCCTTACTTTGTGTGTGTGTGTGTGTGTGTGTGTGTGTGTGTGTGTGTGTGTGTGAATGTTTATATTCATTTGGTGCTATTTCCTTCCTGCCGGAGAGTTGTCAAAGCCAAGAATTGATTTTATTAATTCAGTGTGATCTGTTTTTCATCTTTCTCCTCAAATCCTAAAACACCTGCTGTCAGTTTATATCTCCACTGCCACATAAAGGAAACTCTGGCCATATAAGGATGCAAGGAAGCCGTAACCACAATCTTAAAAAATAAGCCTCATTTTTACCTTCTTGAATATTTTTCTGCCTCATTCATGTACCTCCTGCAGAATTATAGCATAAGAGTAATGATCTTATGCTTCTTTCACCTCTAACACATTAAGTTTAAGCTGTACAAAATGAACTATGGTTGTCTTTATCTTTATACTACCAAAGAAACCCATAAAGATACAAAATGACAGCATCTGAAAAAAGCTAGCACTTTCAAACATACCTGTCATATCAAACAGCAGACAAAACAGAGAACCAGACTAGAATGGAAGCCATCAGACAGAAGAATGAAATTGGGAGGAAAATCGGATATCTCTCATTTCTTTTTTTTTTTAATGTTTTATTTATTTCTAGGAGAGAGAGAGAGACAGAGTGAGCAGGGGAGGGTCAGAGGGAGAGGGAGTCACAGACTCTGAAACAGGCTCCAGGCTCTGAGCTGGCAGTCAGCACAGAGCCCGAAGCGGGGCTCAAACCCACGAACCGCAAGATCATGACCTAAGCGAAAGTCGGACACTTAACCGACTAAGCCACCCAGGCGCCCCGGATATCTCTCATTTCTTAAAAAGAACGGTTTTAATATTGTATGTTCCCATGTTCATCATAAAGGGAATTAGAACAATATGCCTTCACACACCAAAAATGGAGGGAAGGAAAAATCGGGAGGTGGAAATGACTGGAAAGGAAATCTGGAAAGATAGATCACAGAAATTCCCTGAGACAAAGGATGGAAATACGGGCTTCTCAGCAGCCAGTGCTGTTGCCACACGAACTGGTATGATTAGCATAGGTATTTACTTATGCCTCATTTTTTCACAGTCTTGGCCTCCGATCCTTTCCATTTTAGACAATTGGAATAAAGTCTGGGGTTGGAACACATCAAGAGACACAGCACATTGTGTATCCATTTTCATTATATCATTAAAAATTACAGAGCCTAGCAGCTGCTCATACTTTTCTTCAAGACAGAAACTATTACAGCTAAATCCTGCAAACAACTACCAAAAACAGCCAGATTCTTAAGGCAAAAGAGAAAATATTTAGTGGGAATTTGAGCTCTATGGATCAAAATCTCTCTCCTTATTTTTTTAGAGAAAACAAGAAACATCACGTGGAATAGCTGGATACATGTTGATGGACATATGGTGGCTTTTGGAAAAATAAGCATCTTTTACCCCGGCTCATTCCTTTCTAATGAGCGCCCTCCCCATCTATATTTATACCATGGGCATGAACTCACTTCTCTTTCTCTTTCCCAGTGTGCATAGCATTTATTTTAGAAGTTATAGTCTATGTATTGTAGCAAGACTAATTCAATATTCTATGTCAAAATGTGTACTATGCTGAACAGAATCGATATGTTCATATTTTACAGCTTGGCTTCTTTTAACTATTCAGTAACTAAACCTATTGTAAAAAAAAAAAGCCATTTAATAACTCCTTGCATTTTATATTCCCTTCTTTTACCAGTTGTCACTGTATTCAACACTCTGATTACTCCATAAAATTGAAGTTATTTCCAGATGTATTTTTCCACCTATAAAAATATAAAATATGTAATACAGCTTTCTAAGTTTAGAGATACATAAAAACACATTAGCAAGACCTTGTAGCCTGTAGTAAAAGGCCCATACTTTGGAGTTGACTAGAACTGGCATCAAATTCAAACTTTATCACTTATGAAAACTATGTGACAAGTTATTAAACTTCTCCAAAACTTTGTTGATTAATAATTAAAATAGGCAGGATCCCTTATATCCTAAGGCATTGCAAATCAAAGTCTTAAGTGAAAACAATGGAAGAACATGCTTCGTATCATGCCTAGCACAAAGTAAGTGCTCATGAAAGGGCCACAGTGGTGGCGGGTGGGCTACAATGGAAGTTCCGTGGAGTCGTACCCAAAATACTGTACCAATTTCTATGCCTGGCCCCACCATTGACTGGGAATGCAGCCTTAGTTTTCTCATTGCAAAATGAAAGGGGTAGGGACTAGATGCTGGCTAGTCCTCTTGGGACTGACAGTCTTTGGATGTTTCATAAATGTGGATTATACTCTAGCACATTGTTTTGTACCACCTCCTCCACCCGGTCAAACTTTCCTGGGCTCTTCCAAGGGCCAGTATGCCATTTTTGGGGGTCTCAGTTCAATGTTATTACCAAGAAGCCTTCCTTGACCACCCTGCGTTAAGTAGTGGTCTTCCACTCCCTCCTCACCATGCACACCCACTCTTCATCATATCCCTCTGATGTTTTTCCTTCATTGAGCTTTTTTATCATCTGCCTCCTCCCGCTGTTTGGCTAACTTCATGGACAACAGACATCTTTTTTGCTTTTTCACAATTTTGTTGCCAGTGCTAACAACAGTGCCTGGCATAGAAGTAGTTTCTCAATAAATATTTATTGAATGAATGAATAAATATCATACCCAGTTATAAACTCAACAGAAATGAGTGCACACGTCCACAAAATATTTCCACAAGAATGGACTTAGCACCTATACTCAAAATAGCCAAAACCCAGAAATAACCTAAATGTCCATCAGTCGGAGAATGGGTAAGCACACTGTTGGGATTCAAAAGCATAAGAGTAGTACCATAAGCAAATAAAGAGCAGGAGCCTCTTAACTGATATACATAGCACACATTACTGAACTCCTTCACTTCAGTCTGCATGCTTTCCTCTATGAATGTCCTTATAGATCACAGAATTATCGGCTTAAAGAAGCCTCAGCAGCATTGCTCCAACTTCCTCACCCACTGGAAGTCTCATGCCCCAAGTTACATGCAATTAGCAGAGTTAAGGCAAGCACTCAAGGTTCCTGATTCCTAACTCAGTGCTCTTTCCACTGTATTTGTCCCTCTTGCTACTCGATAAGGCAATACAACATGGTAGAAAGAGCACTAGAATCAAACCTCAGTCCCACCATTGACCAGCCAGGTGGCCTCAACCTCTCTCAGCCTGTCTACCTCCCTCTGTGTTACAGAGATGCAATAATACCCACCTCAGAGATTCTCTGTAAGGGTAAGTTCATGCAAGAGTGAATGCCATAGTAATCACTCAGTGTGCTATCTCCTTTAAAATAGTTTTAGGGCACCTGGGTGGCTTAGTCAGTTAAGCGTCCAACTTCAGCTCAGGTCATGATCTTGTGGTTGGTGATTTTGAGCCATGACAGCTCAGAATCTAGACCTGCTTTGAATTCTGTGTCTCCCTCTCTCTCTGCCCCTCCCCTACTCACATGTGCTATCTCTGTCTCTATCTCTTTCTCAAAAATAAACACTTTTAAAAGTTTCTAAATAAAATTCCACCTGACATTAATGAAGTAAGATAAGAGCTGAGTCACAAGTAACATGAAAGTCAGCTGCAACTTGAGATCAGAAAATTCCTTAACATTCCACTTGAAAGTGAAATGTGTTTAAATATCAGTTTTCATTTCCAAGAAAATCTCCCTGCTTCTTTTAAAAGCAAATGTCTTTTTGTAAGTTAGTAAATATATTTTAACTGAAGGAGCTGGTTTATTTCTTTCACAAAGCAATCTATTTACATTTTAAAAGTCATACTTGGTTACCTATAGATATTTGATATTTTGAAAGCTGTTGAAATTTCTAGTACTCTTATTTTCTGTACAAAGGTAAGTGGTCAAGTTTTAGACAAAACCACTGGAATCTTAATTTTATAGTTTTATCAAGATGTTTTAGCTTAAATGTTTCAAAAGCTGAAACTGTCCGGCTGAGATAAGTATGTTGGTTAGTAGGGGATGGGAAAACACTTCAAAAAAGCTGCCCAGGGGCGCCTGAGTGGCTCGCTCCATTAAGTGCCAGACTTCAGCTCAGGTCATGATGTCACAGTTCATGGGCTCCAGCCCCACATAGGGCTTTGTGCTGACAGCTCCGAGCCTGGAGCCTGCTTCAGATTCTGTGTCTCCTTCTCTCTCTGCCCCTCCCTCACTCTCTCTCTCTCTCTCTCTCTCTCAAAACTAAATAAACATTAGAAAAAAAGGCTGCCCAAGTAAAGCAGCTAACATATATGTAATTGTCATCTAAAAGGGTAAAAGGAAGTTGATGGCAGTGCCTCCCCTGACAAAATAAGATCAAATTTGTGACTGTACAAATGATCCCATTTCTTTCTCTTGGCAAACTCTAGAATCGTCTTATTTTTACTGAACAAAGCATAAAGCCGACGGGCACACAGGTCATTCTCTGATGTTAAAACATCGGAAATGGCATTCATTATTATGTCACCCCTTTGAAGCCTCTAATGTGGCGGGGGTTGAAAGCGGACAGTCAAAATCCCCACGAGCCTGAAGAGCATCACCAGACAGGCATGGTCCTCTGCATGAGCCACATCAGTACATTAAAACCAAGTGCTTTCCTTGTCAGAGGACAATTTCACAGTGGTGAAGGCTTTAGATTTCCTCTGTTGTTTCTGAAAGGAAATAGGAAATATACTATTTAGATTCTAAGGCAACTAAAATAGAGGCATTTTGTGGCAGATGGGATTTTTATGAGCTGTTTGTCACCATATACCAGTCTTGTTAAGAAGCAATCGTGTTCTGCTTCATTACACTAAGATAGCTCTGTTTAGGGTTCCACTCAGCTGTGAAATGATTTTAAAACTTCTGTAAGGAGTAGAGATGGGGTTTTTTTTTATATATATAATAAAAGATTGTTAACAAAAAATGTACTGAAACACCAAAAAGTGGTCAAACGCACTATTTTTTGTGTCGGGGAAATGGAGCTACATTGAATCTCCTACTTAGGCTTAATCTGATCGTTTATACTAACAGAGAAAACTACATAATACTTCTATTTCTTCGCCTAAGAAAGGTAAGAGTTCTTTTTATGTTTTTACACAGTCTTCATGGCATATATCATGCAAATAGAAAGGCATGAGTGCTTGGGTGAGGAGCTATTTCAGCTTCAAATATGCAAAAGGAAAAACAAATTTAGCAAATGCAAGAAATACATTTTTAATGGCTTTACCTTCCTCAAAACTAATCTACTTTTCCTACATGTCATAATCTCTTTTCATATTTGACCACTTCTTAAAGGATCGGCATTGGGGGCAGGAGAAGCCTAAACGTGTTATTTTAAAGATCATAAATTTATCATGTCATGATTCCTGGCTCTCAGCCCCATTCAGTGCAATTCAGGGAATTCAGGAGGTCTTCGATCAAATCCTGCCCGACCACTTACTTATGTGACCTTAGGTACAGTCATTAAACTTTCTGAGCCTCATTTCCTCATCTAGGGGGAAAAAAAACGTGGTTAGTAACACAACCTTGCAATATCAGTTATCTATTGCCTCGATAATGCTGCGTAGCAAATGACCATAAAACCTCAATGGCAGACAATAATAAACATTTATTTTATTTTTAAATAAATGTTTAGTTGGCGTTTAGTTGGCTCAGAGTGAGCTCACTCAGGCTCGGCTGGGCACGTGCCTACAGTATGGCAGGCCTGTTCATGTGTGTGACGTGGCTCTGCTGGGGCTTGGCTTGCTAGTTGGCTGATCTAAGACGTCTCAGTCTGCACAAGAGGGCAATTTTGCCCTGTATCATGTGTCTCCATCCTTCAGCCACCTAGCCTGGGCTGGTTCTCATGACACGGCAAAGGTGTTAGGAGAGAACAAAGCCAGTCGCACAAGATTTTTTTAAGCCCCTGCCTGCATCACATCTGCTCACCTCCAACTGGCCAAAACAAGTCACGTGGCCGAGAACAGAATTGGTGGAAGGGTGCTGCAGAGTTGCAGGGCAAAACGTGAAGAAGTATGCCATGTACACCATCAATCCACAACCTTGTTGATGTTTGTGAAGACAGAAACACCTTGTGAACCACTGTGAACCACTAGCATAGCCCCTGGCATGGGGTAGGCACTCAGTAAGTGTTCGCTTCCTTCCCTCCTAAATATGTCTAGTCTCTTTAAGATCCACCTCAATTAATCCTTTGAGATCTTTACTTGTCTGTTCAAAGGTCAAATGAAAATAATAGTTATCATATAAAGAGCTTGGATTTTTCTCTCCCTCTCAAACCAGGGTACTCGCCCTGAGGGAGACAAGAAACCATGTGACACACCTTCATTAAATATTTTATGCAAAGATTAGAGAAAATAAATATGATTTTTATGCCAAAATACACACAGATATCATATTGACTTCTTTGGGCTCCACTTGAAGGGGGTGGCACGTCATATGGTCACTCTGCTTCACTCCCTGGGGTGAGGTTACTTTGGAGGACACGTCTGACAACCTACAGAGATGAACTTTTACATATGAACTTGTTCTGTGAGAACAGATGTTCCCTATATACGTGTTGCTTCTGACACTTTCCCCCCCTCAAATCTTGAGGCCAATTCTCAGTAAATGGAGCTCTGAAATGGGCCAAATAGCAATAGAGGAAAAGAGCACCCATCTTTATCTCACAAGCAAATGAGGTTTGGCTAAGCAGGTGTAGGATTCTGGAGAGAGTCTAGATAACGGAAAGCAAGGAATGCTTTTTAGTAGAAGCAAGCTTAGCAATGAAGAGACGATGGACCCTCTTGTACTGGATGATGCTGTGGGATCTTCCACGGTCCCCAAGAAGCTGGAGAAAACAGCCCCTACGCATCCCACTTCAGACACACCACTCAGGCTGGTCCTTGGCAAGGTCAGACCTTTCTGGCCTGGAAGTCAAATTTTCGGGCTTCAAATGCTCCATGACACCTGAGTCAAAAAAGTCCACCAAATCAGAAGTGAGGAGCAAGACCAAGCACTTCTAGAGATGGATATAGCCCAAAGCAGCCCTTCCCCACTCACCTCTCTATCCTCTATCATTAACATGTTTCTAAATTCTGAAGTCTACTTCATCCTATCCCCTGCTAAATCTCAATGATGTAAATATTTTTCTTTACAATCTTTAAGAAAAACAGATGCACCAGGAAAAAGCCAAGCAACTTTGCCTATGCTTTGCCTGGATGCCAGAGTAAGTGGTTAATGCCACAGCTAGAATAAAAGGACAAAATAAACCTGAGGATGGGCACCTGGGTGGCTCAGTTGGTTAAGCGTCCGACTTTGGCTCAGGTCATGATCTCACGGTTTGTGGGTTCGAGCCCGGTGTCGGGCTCTGTGCTGACAGGTAGCTCAGAGCCTGGAGCCTGTTTCAGATTCTGTGTCTCCCTCCCTCGCTGACCCTCCCCTGCTCACGCTGTTTCTATCTCTCTCTCAAAATTAAATAAAACATTAAAAATTTTTTTAATAAATAAATAAACCTGAGGAAAGCAGAAAGAAGGGATGAGATGACAAAAGCATAACCTAATCATAAAACCGGAAGCTAATATAGTTTATATCTGAATCTAAAACTACTCATTGAAAAGACAAGTGGAATAGAAACATGTATGCAATCCCAGAGGAAATCTGGCTTGCTGTCTATACTAATGAATCCAGCTCGTCATGTATTAAATACCAATGCTCAATACACCTCTGAAAAACACTGGTAGCACAGAAGAGAAACATGACTTGGGGAATGAAAGAAGTTTATTGTTTATTACTAACAAAAGTATAAGTAGTATACTCAGAGATATTAGCATTCTCAACAGATTATGAAGACAAAGGAACAATCAGGAACAAGAAAGCATTCTTGAAGATGAGAAAAACATGGCTGCCAAAAAAAACCCTTAAATCATATAACATGGGCTGATTTGTTAGTAGTATATATGTTTGCATATGGGGAGGTCTGAAGTTTAGAACCCAGACTGTTGACAGAAAATGGTCTTTGAGAACTGGAAAAGGATTGGGGGCCTGAGCAGTGGCTAAACTTTCACTGCTTAGTGTAGTGCTTAGGAACACAGATTCCAAAAGGGGACTAAGAGGTACAGGCTTCCAGTTATAAAATAAATAAGTCACAGAGATTAAAAGTATAGCATAAGGATATAGCCAATCATATTATAAGAGTGTACGGTGACAGATGGTGACCACATGTATCATGGTTGAGTACTGAGTAATGTATAGAACAGTTGAATGAATCTATTCTGCACCTGAAGTTAATACAACATTCTATGTTAATTATACTTGAAATAAACACACACACACACACACACACACGCACGCACAGATTCCACAGCAAATTGTCATGGTTCACATCCAGAGATGTGAACTTAACTTGCTGTGTATCCTTCAACATGTTACTTAATTTCTCTGTGCCTCTATTGTCTCATTCATAAATATGGGACTATTCATACTACTCAGTATGAATATTATTACTACTACTACTACTATACACACAACGAAATATTATTCAGCCATAGAGAAAGAAGGAAATTCTGCCATTTGCAACATGGTTGGAACTTGAAAATATGCTAAGTGCTCACATATAGGTGGAATCTAAAAAAACCAAACTCATAGAAACAGACTAGAATGGTGGTGGGAGAAATGGGGAGATATTGGTCAAAGAATACAAACTCCCAGTTATCAGATGAATAAGCTCTGGGGATCCAACGTCCAACATTGTAATTATAGTTAATACTGTATCGTATACTTGAAAGTCACTAAGAGAGTAGAAATTAAGTGTTCTCACCACACATGCACATGTGCTCGTGTACACACACACACGCACCACACACGGGAATTATGTGCCCAATAAAGGTGATAGCTACTGTTATGGCAGTAATCACTTTGCAATATGTAAATGTATCAAATCAATTCATTGTGCACCTGCAATTTATACAAAGTTATACATCAGTTATATCTCAATAAACCCGGAGTGGCTATAGGTCCCTAAATTTTTTTTAATTTTTAATTTTTTAAATTCTTTCCACTCTATTTCCTTTAGCGAATCTTACCAGAGAGTGGACAAAAGAAAGAAATTGTTTGTTTTTATCTCTTCTGACTAGAATATTTAGAGAAGAGTTCAAAATCAAAAGTATAATATTTCCTTCTTGTGTGTCAGAAAGAATGAGAAATCTAGCTGACAGAATCCTAACGCCGATGTTTGGTTCTATCGTGACCACAGAAATAGTGCCTCTATAGAAACTGCACGTGTCTAGCACTTGGTTTAAACTGAAGGCCAAATGGGGACTGAAGGATCTTCTGTACATACACTTCATTCAGGCCCTTATCACACGGAAGCAAGTTCACACCAAGTTCATACGTGCTACTAGATATTTTCCTCACTCTGTGCAAAGTTCTGGTAGTTCTGAGTAATTGCAGTTATGTAAATCTAGCACATTTGAAGTAAGCCAGGAGAGTTTGTGTTTAAAACAATAACTGGGGAAGCTGGGAGCCTGGGTGACTCAGTCGGTTAAGCAGCCGACTCTTGATTTCGGCTCAGGTCATGATCTCATGGCTTGTGAGTTTGAGCCCTGAGCCCAGGCTCCGGGCTCCGTGATGTCAGTGCAGAACCTGCTAGGGAATCTCTCTCTCTGCTCCTCCCCCTGCTCACACAGTGTCTCTTAAAAAATACATAAGTAAACTTAAAAAAAATAAAGAAAATAAAATAATATTTTGGTGAATATTTTTGAAAAGCAAATTAAGAACTCTTAATTTTCTTGGTTTATAAAGCCAGATTTCGATGTGGGACATGTTCAAAGTAGGATAAATCTGTAATTCTGCTTTATAAGATGTATGGTCTCCTGAGACTTCAAGTATCAACATTCATCATGCCTTGGATTGAACAAATACAGTTTTACAAGTGTAATTTTCTTTTAATTTTTTTAATGTTTTATTTATTTCTGAGAAAGAGAGAGAGAGAGAGAGTGTGAGCAGGGGAGGGTCAGAGAGAGATGGAGATACAGAATCTGAAACAGGCTCCAGGCTCTGAGCTACCTGTCAGCACAGAGCCTGACACAGGGCTCGAACCCACGAACTGTGAGATCATGACCTGAGCCGAAGTCGGACACTTAACCAACTGAGCCACCCAGGTGCCCCTGCAAGCATAATTAAGGCAGAGACGGTGTCCTGGCCTTCCCCTTCTTGAATCCCATTCTACATAAGGAGTCTCAAGGGCTTGAGGAAACCAGAAACATTCCTGTTTCTATGCCTCACACACCTGAAACCAAATCCCACAAACAGGGAATTTGCCTCTCTCTGTTCAGACTCCAATGACTTCTTGTTTTTTGAAAACTGGTTCCAGGGGCACCTGGGTGGCTCATTTGGTTAAGCATCCGACTTCAGCTCAGGTCATGATGCCGCAGTTTGTGGGTTCAAGCCCTCCATTGGGCTCTGTGCTGACAGCTCAGAGCCTGGAGCCTACTTCAGATTCTGTGTCTCTCCTTCTCTCTGTCCCTCCCCTGCTCATGCTCTGTCTCTTTCTGTTTCTCAATAATAAATAAATGTTAAAAAATAAAAACTATTCCCTTACTACTTTTACATTTCTGCTTCCAATTATTAAAGAAAGATAAGCCCTTTATCAAAACCAAAACCCCTTTTATAAAACAACAACAAAAAACAAACCTTGTCTACTATCTACTAGGCAGGTATTTTTTAAATACCTGCCAGTGTGAAGGTTAGGTCCCTGGCTAAGTTGCTCAAATATATTATGTATATGCGTACCATGTCCTTAAAATTAAAACACAAGTACATACACTTAACTCAAAGGCCCTAGTCGATGCAATTCAATATTTTAATTCACTGAAACAAATGTGTTTTGAAAGCTAGTCTGAGCTGAAGAGCCCAGTAAAAGAGAAAATGTCAGTAAAGCAAAGGGGACCAAGGAGGCAGTGAGAAAATTCGCAAAAATATTATATATCTTATAGAGGCAGGAGAAGATAGCTCTCCAATGGTCCCATGCCTTACGATGACCACTCCAGACATCTATGGGTACTTCCATGGGAAAAATAAATGTCATTAGACTTCGTTATATTATGTCTTGTGACTTTTTAAATGAGATTAACTATAGCTAGTTTTTACATAAAAACCCTTTTTAGACCTCAGAAATCAGATTGGCTTCAAACCTCTATTGGTGCCATTGCAAATGATGCCTTTGTGAGCTGACCTTGATTTTGAATGTTGCCTTAAAAAATTCATTATGGGAAGAAGAGGACCTGAAGGAATTCCTTCCAGTGTATTAATAGCTCTCACCAAGACAATTAGGTCATGGCTGAATCAAATCAGAAGCACCTCCACCTCTGGAATATATTGGATTTTTAAAAGAATTTTTCCGTTGTACATTTTGCAGAGTACCTTCAAACGCAAAGCATGACTCAGCCTTAGAGACTGGGCTCTTTCAGACCTTTCAGAGAGCCCGGGGAGGGGCAGAGACAAGTTCTATCCTAATGCACCTCTGCTAAGCGGTTCAGGTGGGGAATGACATGACCATAAGAGCTTTAGGAAATAATTCAAATGACAATGTAGCAATAACGAAGTTGTGAACTAGGGCAGCATTCATGGGAATGGCAAAAAAGGAATGAGTCCAGAAGTCTTGAAGGGGCAAAATGAATGTGGTTTCGTGATTCACTGGATGCAGAAATTAAGGGAGATAAGAACCAAATGTCTAGGTTGCCTGAATAAAGAGGAAGGTAGGATCATGAAGTTTAAGGTACAGCATGAAGGAACAGGAAAATCAGACCTAGGGAAGGAAATGAATTCCATGTAGACATGTTGAGTTAAAAAAAAAATGTTAAATGGGCAGCTGGGTGGCTCAGTTGGTTAAGTGCATGACTTAGGCTCAGGTCATGATCTCATGGTTCGTGGGTTCGAGCCCTGTGTCAGGCTCCGTGCTGACTTCTCAGAGACTGGAGCCTGCTTCAGATTCTGTGTCTCCATCTTTCTCTCTGTCCCTCCCCTGCTCAATCTCTGTTTCTCTCTCTCTCTAAAATAAATAAACATTTAAAAAAAATTTTTAGGGGCACCTGGGTGGCTCAGTCAGTTAAGCGTCTGACTTCAGCTCAGGTCATGATCTCACAGTTCCTGGGTTTGAGTCCCGTGTCAGGCTCTGTGCTGACAGCTAGCTCAGAGCCTGAAGCCTGTTTCAAATTCTGTGACTCCCTCTCTCTCTGACCCTCCCCTGCTCACGCTGCTTCTCTCTCTCTCTCTCAGAAATAAATTTTTAAAAAGCATTAAAAAAAATTTTTTTAATTTTTTAAATTTTTTTTTAACTTTTAGGACATACAACCAACAGCTGGAAATTCAGCTCTGAAGTTCAAGAGAGAGAAACAAGTTCTGAAGAATAAGATCTGGGAGCATACCACAGAATTCAACCAAGGAAAGAAGAGGAGAGTCCCTGAGGAAGAGAGGGGAGAGGAGAACTTAGAACAGACATTTGGAAGTGGCTATAGGCTGTGTGCAGGCAGGAGAAGCTAAACCATCAGTCAGTCAGTCAGTCCAACAGTTTGAGTTAAACTCATCCCTTCTCTGATGTGGAGAGAATTGGGTGGGTGGGGAGGGAGGGAGGAGAAAACTACAAATGTCTTTGTCCTGCTGTAAGATCAGTGTAGGATGAAAAAGGGTGCTGCTTTCCCAAAGAGCCGAATGTGAATGCCCTCGGTGAGTGCAGCAAGGCTGGTGGGGACTATGTCAGAAAACCCTGCACAGGGTCAGTTGGAAACAACTTCAAGCACAAGCGTGAAGGAAGCAGCTGAAGCCAGCACACTGCCACCCCCCCCCCCACATGGCCTTCCCATAGGTACCCTGCCACCACTTCTTGCCTTCTTCTCTTACTCCAGATTCTTCTTCCTTAGGCCAACAAAGTTTGTATTAAAGCATCAGGCATCTTTTGGGGCACCTGGGTGGCTCAGTCGGTTAAAGCATCTGACTTAAGTTTAGGTCACACTCTCAGGGCTGCTGAGTTGGAGCCCCACATCGGGCTCCCTGTTGTTAGTGCAGACGCCTGCTTTGAATCCTCTCTCCCTTCCTCTCTCTGCTCCTCCTTCTCGCTCTCTCTCTCTTTCTCAAAATTAAACATTAAAAAAAGTCATGCATCTTTCAAGTAACGGGGAGTATTTACCTATTTGGGACAGTGAAATCATTCAAAGTAAAAGACCAAGGTTTCCTGTAGTAAATGCACATGTAAAGCACACCTAATCGCACATGTTTGCAAATGTGATCACCACAGCTTCTTTCTTGGCCTACTGGACATCTCCGGACTTGATGCCACCATCTCCCCCTGACAAGGCTGCCTTCCCTTTCTCTTCCATCACTGTGGCTTAATTCTGACACACCTCGTACGTTGTGTTTCTCGGTGCATCTTGAATGGTCACTTCCAAATCAGCTGCTCTCTCCTCATCCATGTTCAGCTCCTGTTCTCCATCTGCCTTCCACACATTTGTTGACCCTAAAAAGCACATGAGGTCATAGTGCACCGTTAACACACGTGAAACCCACCCAAATCAGCCAACCAGAGTCTGTTGGGGGTTGTTCCTCCCCCACCAGCTGCAAGAAGGGTACCCAGAGGAGTTAATGTCGATATACATCCCCATATTAAATATTCAGAGTGCCATCGTGGTTCAGGCGAAAGGAACTCCAAAAATAAATTAGAAATAAGCAGCCTTCAGAGAGTCATACTGCTCTGAAGACATACATAATTTCCTGAAGTAAAACCTCCTTCTTATGAGCTAAAACATAAATTCCCATTTTTGCCAATCATTCGGGATTATTGGGTCAGAATAACTACTTTAAGTAAACATTCATAATGTTTCCATTATTTTCTGTGTGAAGAGCTGTTCTGATTCAAATATATGCCCCATAAGTTGGCAGAGCATTGTTTTTCTCATGATGGTGCTTGTGTTTTTACCACAGAACCTCATTGTTGCTGATCTATGATATTTTTCTTGCCATCATATTATTTGCTACATCTATCTAATCCTTTTGCCCTCTGTATAATATTTCAATTTAGAAAGGAATGTCAATATGTTGTCTCTTGTGCCAAGAATACTTTTAGAGTGAAAAATCTAATAGTGTATTCAATCATGCTGTTATTGTTATCAGTATATCTTGCTACTACAGTAAATGTCTGAAAAAGCTAAAGTTCTGAGCAAAAAAAAAAAGAGTGAGGTCATCCACGGGGGATACATATATAGTGATTATTACTGGGTTCGTGTTTTCAATTTAATCACTCCCTATGACCCATTTGCCCTTAGGATATGACTGTTGCAACAAAATTATTTCACTTAAGCTCCCGTTAATGGCCACTGTAATTCTAGTCAGCAGCCCTTTGTGTTACAAAAGACTACACCCCTTACCAATCATTCACTGCTTTTAGAGATGAGTTATAATTCAAATAAAATTCCCCTGTAAGGTAATGGAGCATGTGACCCTTTTATGGTAAACTGTAATTTGGGGGCGCGTAACACAATTGTTCTGTCATTTGGTATTTCGGGAGGTAAAAAACAGAGATTCATATTAAAATATCCTGTTCTATGCATTTCCTACAACACTCCTTAGTAACACATCCTTTTGTTTCCTGACAGTGATTTAAAAGCGTTACAAACCTCTGCTATATCCAAGAAAGAACATTTTCATAATCGCCTTAATCTCCCTTAAGTCTCTCTGCATAATGTTCCTCAGAATTATTCTTTACCACGAGCCAAACTAAATAGGTCCCCAAAAGAAGTCTAGGTAATTTTCTATTCTCTTAGTTCTCTATTTACTTTGCTTACACAAAGCAAACGCTGTAGGATTAGGGCTGAGTAAAATAAGACGTGTTTGAAGAGACTTTCCTGTTGTCTCAGTCCATCCGTCAGAACTAGGACACGTTTCTTTCGGTTGTGCTTCCAAAAGGCAAACAGGACTCTGAGCCCCTAAATCCAAGACCATCTGCCGGTCATCATCGCCGCATGGCAGCCACTTCCTTCAGTACCAGGGCCAGTTTGCCTCCGTTTTTTTCCCAGAGACACACGCAAGAGGACTTTCCAAGAAAATGTGCTTTGTGGCCTGGCTCTCGACCGTTTCTCCCTCCAGCTCTGGTGAATTGGACCACACCAACAATGGACCTCAGACCCTCTCTAGCTTTTGGCACAAGTCTGGATGATAGCCAACTTTTTCCTCTCTTCCATCCTGGCCCCACCGTGGTCCGGCTTCCTCCCCAGGGTGCCATCAGATTAGAGGAATTCCAGGCACTGGATTCCCAAAACCAGAGTACAGACCTACAAATGCCTTTAACATAGCCGCTTACATTTTGGCTGGGGTCCATTTTAGACCTTGAGGATTACAAGAACCTTGTGGCCACGATTTACTGGGAAGTAAACTTAATGAGACTCACCAGTGATAAAAGTAAAGGAAACAGATACCCACTGAACCAGTCAGAGTTCAGCCATGGAAGAAGAATAGTAGGAGACGTGTGTGTGTGTGTGTGTGTGTGTGTGTGTGTGTGTGTTACAAGCACTTAGTACTTGATTTGTGAGGGCTGGTTAAACAAGTCTGCAGTCTATAGGTCCAACATTCAGAAAGGGAAGAAATGAGCAAGCTGTTACCCACAGGCACAGACTGAATGTCTTATCCACAGGCCATCAAGGAGAAAGAGTGCAAGCAGTCTAGAGCCCCTGAGGCATAAACTAAAGCTTATAGTCCACAGGCTGCCAAGAATAGAAAGTTATAAGCAGACTGCAACCCTAAGATCCACTGGAGAGGAAGAGAAAATGTAGACCAAGAAGCTGGTGGAGTCTCTGAGCCCTGGGAAGGCCTCTTTGAAAGGGTGTGCCTGATTAGGTCAGGCTCACCCAGAATAATCTTCCTTCTGATTAATTTAAAGCAACTGATTAGGGACTTTCAGCTGCAAAATCCTTTAATTGCAACACCTAAATTAGTGTTTGATTGACCAGTTCAGGCCAACCAAGTGCCAATCAAGAGGCCATCATACTGGGGCGTCTGGGTGGCTCAGTTGGTTAAGCATCAGACCTCGGCTCAGGTCATGATCTCACTGTTCCCAAGGTTGAGCCCCACATCAGGCTCTGTGCTGACAGCTCAGACCCTAGATCCTGTTTGGATTCTGTGTCTCCCTCTGGTTCTGTCCCTCCCCCATTAGTGTTTTGTCTCTCTCGAAAATGAATAAACATTAAAAAAAGAAAAAGAGGGGCACTTGAGTGGCTTAGTCGGTTAAGCGTCCGACTTTCGCTTAGGTCATGATCTCGCGGTTCATTGGTTCGAGCCTCGCGTCGGGCTCTGTGCTGACTGCCAGCTCAGAGCCTGGAGCCTGTTTCAGTCTGTGACTCCCTCTCTCTCTGACCCTCCCCTGCTCACGCTGTCTCTCTCTCTCTCCCGGAAATAAATAAAACATTAAAAAAAAAGAAAAAGAAAAAGAAAAAGCCATCATACTCACTGCCCCCTAAAACTAACTGGGAAACTCTGCTAGTCTACATTTATTTAATATATGAGCACCTACTATATGCAAAGCCCTGTGCTATGCACTAGAGGAAAATTATTTCATTGTATAGAAAAACTACAGAAAAGGAAGGAAAAGTGAGACACCAACAAGATCAGAAATTTCTAATGAATAAAACAAAAATAATGACAAGAAGGATTTAAGACTAAGATACAGGTTGTTAAAATTAGAATCAGTGCAAAAATAAAATCTGATTTTTATTTTAAAAAATTTAAAAAGGCGTTTGCATTTTATAGTATCAGTCATATTAATGTTAATGTGTAATAACATTCTCAGGGTATAGACCATGACTTAGTTGATTTTCTTGAGAAAGCTTTTTCAACTTATAAAAATGTATAAATACATAAAATATGTTAAAGGGAAAATTATACTTAAGAGTTCTGAGAGGAACCACTCCAATTTGACTATAAAAATTAAATTTCATCCTCAATAGAACTGTATGTTATAAAAACATACACTGTCACTGTCGTTTAGGTTACGCTCAAGAGAATGAAAGATAATGCAAGAACACACTACAGAAACTACAAAAGGAAAAAACTTAAGTCATGAAGCGTTTGTATATTTCGTCGTGACACTTGTCACACTCATGAATGATGAGCCCCTGTGTTCAGTGGTGTAACCAGCCTAAAACCGGGCTTCCTGGAGTCCAGCCTGCCAGATAGCACACCCAAAATCTGCTCTCACCTCTACTCATTCTCTACCCCTCCTCATGTTTATTTTATTCATTCATATTCTCTCTCCACCACTCCCCCACCCTCCCCCGCCTCTGCCCTTGAATGTCCTTGAACTCCCCTCTCCTCTCTTTTCTAATAGACCATAAGCTGGCCTGTTCTTGGCTTCTGCCGTTTTCCTCCCCACTCCTCACCCACACCTCATTCAGCACAACCAGAGGCCCTCTCTCAGGCCCAGAGAACAAAGGATCTTTCCTCCACAGAAGGTAAGAGAAGCATACAATTGCAAATACCCATTATTTTATATAATTTTTTCCTGACAGAGCAGTAAATCTCCAATGCATTTGCAAGTAATGAATCAGAACCAGTTCTTTCATTTCTCAGACATAAAAAAGAGTCAGGAAAGAAGATAAATATACTTATCTTAGGTGTCACGCTGAAATTTTGAAAAAAGTATGTTGTATTTGTTCATTTGCTGAACTGCTTTTAAGATTTTTATTTCTCTAGATGAAATGAATGGTGTTTGGGTCCGAAAAAGATAGATTTATTCTTTATTTGATTATTTTTTATAGAAATTTATAATATTGATTTTATCTTTTGAGAGAGGGAGAGACAGAGAATGAGCAGGGGAGGGGCAGAGAGAGAAGGAGACACAGAATCTGAAGGAGGCTCCAGGCTCTGAGCTATCTGCACAGAGCCAGACACAGGGCTTGAACCCACTAACCTCGAGATCCTGAGCCCAAGTCAGATGCCCAACAAACTGAGCCATCCAGGAGCCCCTATTTGCTTATGTTTAAAGCAATAGAAAAGGAATCTTATGGTCTGGAATGGTTTTGAGACAAAAGAGGAAATAAAAAAAAAACAACAGAGATGGTGCCTAGCATTATTCGTGCCCGACATGGAAACAAGATTTGTTACAGTTGACTCGCAATTATTCCAGGAGCTGACTGGAAAATTTGTGAATTAACTAGAACCTCTGCTTCTCTTAATGCCTCCCACTGCTGGGCACTTGGCCATTGCAATGCAGTCAAGATTACTGTGGGAAAGTGAACGGAGACTAGAGAAGCCAACCTTCTAGTCAATCCATTCTGCTTACCTGCTACTTGCTAAAAAGCTTACTGCAAGATGCTAGAATATATATATATATATATTTATATATTATTATATATATATATAGCCTGCTTTGACGCCCCACTCCATAGTCTGCCCAACACCACTGCCTTCTATTCAGCCATTAATCCAAGTCTTTATTCAATAAATAATTATTTCCAAGTACTATGTTGG